CTTAGTAATTTAGAAAGGCACAATTGCAATCATTATAAATGTTCACTTAAAATTTTTAAGAAGAAACAGTAACTAGAGTTGGTAAATAGATGCCTCTCTTGGAGCACTTCACACTAGAGTACATAGGAAGCAGCCTGCGATGTTCCCAAGAATAATGCCATATGCTTGGTTTCTGTCGGGGACAACTGACACATCTTTCTGCTCCTCAACTTCTCCCTTTTGCTTCATGATGGAAATTGGTCCCCATTGGTCCACAGGTCCTTAACAAGTGATGGGTCTATCTTCTCCCTGTTTCTGGTATACTTTATTTAGACCTATCTTTATATTTGACTTTTTTAACAGTTTCCTAAAGGGACTCTCTGCCCCTATGCCAAGCTTTCCTCTATTTAATGTGTTCTCTGCAGTGTAGCCAGAATACTATTTCTACAAAACATGACCACATCTCTCTGCTACTTTGAACTCTTTGCCAACCCCTCAAGTCCTATTGCATCAAGTCCAAAGTCATTAGCATAGATTAAAATCCACCATTCTACTTCCCCAGAGTTATTTCCAACCATTCCTGTTGACATGCTTACCTTCTACATAGCTGGCTGCTCCAGAGGCTGCCATCTCTTCTGAGAGGTCAGAACTCTTTTTCTTTGTGTAAAAAGATTTCAGTCATTCTAGTTTTAACTTAATTATAATTTAAAATATGTTAATCATGGAAATAATACTGCAAGGTGTTCTTGCTCTGCCTCTCATGGCAAAGTGTGATATTCCTTAGGAGCAACCAGATTCACCTCCCAGATATTTCCAGTATTTTTGTTAGTCTATCACATCTATATCTATCACCTATCAATCATTTTTCTTATTTTGAAATTTAAAGGTACTGTGATTTCCTCCTGTATTGCATTGTTTCTAACAAGTTCATAGCAATTTAATCCTTAGTTCTTTGCATGTTATGTTTTTTTAGTGTCTTTAAAAAAATTTCCAACACTTCACATGTCATAACATTAAGTCTTGGTGCCAGTATTATTTATCAGTAGGACATCAGGTGTCAATTGTAAATTCAGATCCTTAAGTTCTAAGACATTTTCTTGAATTAGTTCCTTGATAATCGTTTCCTTTCTATTTTCTTGGTTGTTTGATTTATCATTAAACATTTTCATTATATTGATGTAGGCTTCCAGGCTCTGGGGATACAACAGTAGATACAACGACAAAAAATACTAACTTTTTGGAATGTGTACATTTTATTGGTAGAGATACATAGACAGATATATAAAAGTATGTTAAGTAGTGAAAAATGCTAAGGAAAAATAAAAAAGGTCACAGGCTGGGGATATAGCTCAGTGGTAAAGTGCTTGACTAGCATGCAAGAAGCCCTGAGTGTGATCCCCAGCACCACAAAAAAAGGGAGTTCAAAATCCACATGTACCGAAGGAACAGTGAACAAACAAGTGTGACGATAGTAAAGGGTACAGATGGGGGAGCTGAGAGGGTGAAGTTGAAGGCAACTGAGAATCAGATCACCACAAGACCTCATGGGTATCAAGGGAGCCTGCAGGGTTTTGAACAGAGGGTAAATGTGGTTTGACTTATGTCTTGATGGGGTGTTGAAAATGGCCTGAAGGAGGACAAAGATAGAAGGAGGGTACCACTTAGGGGGCTGTTATAAGAAAACACAGAGAGGTAATGTTGGTTCATATCAGTTAATGCCAGTAAGGCTGTACACGGTGGTGGAGTCCTTTTTTGTGTCTTGAAGATAGAGGTGTCATGATTTGTGCACAGACCACATCTAGGGGGAAAGACAAAAGACAATCAAGGAGAGCATCAAGGTTTTGACTCGAGCTTGAAAAAAGAAGTTGCTAAAAATTGAAGAGGGAGCAGTCCAGAAGGAACAGATTTTTATTTTGGTTGGGAGGAAGGGGAAAGATAAGGGCAAGTTGGGAATTGGGCATTGGAAGCATGAGCTGTCCATCACACATTTAAATTTAGATGGAAATTGGCAGTTTGACACTTAAGTCTTCATGTTGGGTGGGGGGGACATGTGCTCTGGCCATGTAGATGTGGAAGTCAACAGCCCAGGTGGTTCATATGCCCACAGAACTAGACGAGATGGCCTAAGGAGGGGGGATGAAGGTGGCTTATAAAGAGTAGAGACCTAAGGAGCACCTGGAGACACTGTCCATATGTAGAGATGACTAGGAGACAACATAAGAGGCTGAGAGGAAAGGCCAGGTAGGTAGGAGCGAAAGCAAGCATACCTGGAGTTCCATAAGCCAAGAAAAGAAAGATTTCTAAGGAGGAGGGAATGATGTACTTTGTCCAGTGATACTGATAATGTATGATGAAGGATGGGAAATGAACTTCTTATGGCTGATTTTCAAGGTGACCAGCACCATGACAGGGTCAGTTCCTGCTCAGGAAGTGTGAGCTGCCTAGGAAATAAAACGTCTGAAACAATCAGTAAGAAATAAAGACAGAACCAGAAATTAGATATGGAAAGGGGAGCTTCTGATGGGTCTTCTAGTCCTAATAAAAGCTGGAACTGAACAACTCAAAAAAGGCTCCGATTCTTTATTTAAGGGGGAGTACATCAAAGGCAGGGATACGGTGTCAGCGGGTGGGGTCTTGGTTCAGTGCTTACTTCTCAGTGAGGCAGGGGTCTTGAGTAAACAAGTTGATTGGCATTTTGGCAAGCCACACCCATCTCTGAGAGGCTGTGTGGTTCCAGCAGGTCACCCCATCTCTGATGCTGTGCTGAACTTAAGATGGAACTAGGCAGGATGCTACATGAACCAGACATTCTCAAACCAGCAACATTACTAATGGGAGTTCCTGATACCAGGCTTTTCTGCCTAATGGTTTCAACACTGCTTTAGTTCACAGATGGCTTCCCACACAATTATCTTGATAAAAACAGTTTTAGTGGAGTGATAGTGGTGAATATTAGATGGGAGTGGGTTAAGAGAGGTAAGGGAAGGGTTGTAAATAGCAGATGTATACAGCTCTTTTAAGGCGTCTTGATTAAAAAAGGAAAGAAAAGAGATAAGATGGTAGCTGAGGCTCTATTCTTTATTTTGAGGACTCATATCAGTCATATGTTAAATATTTTGGGTTGCTACTCCTTGGTTTATACCCAAAGGACTTAAAATTAACATACTACAGTGATGCAGCCACATCAATGTTTATAGCAGCTCAATTTACAATAGGTAAACTATTGAACCAACTGAGGTGCCCTTCAACAGGTGAATGGATAAAGAAACTGTAGTATATATACACAATGGAATATTACTCAGTCTTAAGGAAGAATGAAATTATGGCATTTGCTGGTAAATGGATGAAACTGGAGAATATCATGCTAAGCTAAATAAGCCAATTTCAAAAAACCAAAAATTGAATGTTTTCTCTGATATACAGATGCTAATTCACAATAAGGAAGGGAGAAGGCTAGGGAAGAATAGAGGTACTTTGGACTAGACAGAGGGGAGTGAATGGAGGGAAGAGAGTATGAAAGCAGAAATAATAAGAGAATGAATAGGACATTATTACCCTATGTGCATATATAATTACATGATCTTTGTAACTCTACATCATGTACAACCAGAATGAGAAGTTATACTCCACTTATGCATCATGTGTCAAAATGCATTCTACTGTCATGTATAACTAATTAGAACAAAAAAAAAATTTTAAGAAAGGAAAAAAAATATTTTGGGTTGATTGGCTTATTTTCTTTCTTTTCCATTTCCCAGTTGTTTATCTTGTTCTTCTATTTGCTGGGAGCATTCTTGATTTTTATCTTAAAACCTTTCTGTTGACTTATCCTGCTGTCATTTTAATTTTAAGAACTTTTGATTTTCTGACTGTTCATTTTTCATAGAACTGTGAGCTTTATTTGTTCTTGTTCTTCATCTATCAAAAGTGTTATTGAAGTATAAGAAAATGAATATCTTTTACTAGCAATAAAGCTTATGATTTCAATCTAGTTATACTTTTTCCTTTTCAAAAAAGTATCAAAGGATATTCAAGGTATTCAAATTTATATAAAGGATAATACAACATAATCTTTGTGTTTAAGATATAAATTTAAAAAAAATTTTTAGTCTCTCAGTTTTGTTTTATAAATATAGCATCTTCAAGTTTATTTTTTTCTTGAAATTTTCTTACTGATTACTGCCTAGATCTCTATTTCTTATGTCCTCTCCATCCTCCTGCTTCCCCGACCTCCGCCAACCGCCATGTTTTGATATGTCTTTCATGTGAGAGGATGTGTGGAGATTCCTGCCTGTCCAGCATGGTTAAGAGTGTGGCCCTGAAAAACTCAGTGAAGCTTTATGTGTCTGGGCGGTACAGACCAGCTACCAGCAGGCAGTGGGTTGCAACTCAAGTTTCTCCTTGTGAGACTCCAAATGTCAACATCTATAGTTTTCTTCTCTTAGACCATTCTACTTTCTCAGAGAAGAATTTTATAGTTTGCTGCCTAGAGGTGTAATTCCAGGTTTAGGAAAGGGGCTCGAGAACCTCACCATCCAGTGCATAGATTTTCACATCTTCCATCTCTTTTTGGTACCTTGCCCCTACCTTTAGCTATGCCTGGAGTTTGAGTTAAGAACCCCGGAGGTTCTGTTCTTCTTGGCAGTAAGCTTCCTATCTTTTGCCCAGAGTTGTGGGGGGAATTCTTCTGGTACTACAGAATGGAGGACACTTAAAAACTCCAGACAGGTTTTTTTTTTTTTTTTTAAGCTGCCTTGAGAGGTGCCTTGTGATTCCAGTCTAAGCCATTTTGAGATTCCGTGGAGCAAATACACTCCTTGCCCTGGCAGGCCCCAACTCTAGGCTTTAAGCTTCAGCCTTCTTTCTACTGCTCTCCCACATGACAACCCTTTCACTATAGTAGTCCCCTGTATTACTCAAGGTTTTCATTGCTGTGACTTATGTATATCTGACCAGAACAACTAGAAGGAGGAAAAGTTTATTCCGAGCTCATGATTTCAGAAGTTCAGTCCATGGCTGGCTGACTTCATTGCTCTGGGCCTGAGGTGAGGCAGAACATCACAGCAGAAGGGCATGGCAGGGAAAATCTTCAAAGCTCGTGGCAGCTGAGAAGCAGAGAGTGGAAAGAGCCCGAGACAAAATATTAGACCTCAAGGTACACCTCCCAGTGACCCATTTCTTCCAGTCGTGCTCACAACCCAGCAATCCATTCAAATTATTAATCCATTAAACGGATTAATCCATAATTTATTCTATAGATTTCATAGCCTGATCATTTTAACTCCTGCACTGATACAGGAACTTCTGGGGGACAGCTAATATCCAAACCATAAAACCTCCCTTATCTACAGTTTTGCCTTCACAGTTTCAGCCAACTGTGTTCCAAAAAGATGTTTTGAGAGTAAGAAAGAGAGCACGTCCACATACATATTATTACAGTGTAGTTATATTTTTTCTATTTTATTATTAGTTATTCTTGTTAATTTCTTATTGTGCCTAATTTAGAAATTAAACTTTATCATAGGAATATATGTATTAGAAAAAGATATATATGGAGAGAGAAAGACAGAGAGACAGAAAGACAGAGACAGAGATAGTTTGGTACTATCAACCACTTGGGCATCCGCTGGGGGTTTTGCAACAGATCCCAAAGGACAAGTGATAATTAATTACTACATTACTTCTTCACTCATTCTTTTTGTTCTGTTGGTTTCTAAAGTTGGGGTTTAAAATTTACTGTGTGTAATTTTAAAGGTGATCACTCAGAGTTAAGGGTGTATGGTCAGGGCTCCACATTACTTGTGAGACCATGGACCCAGATCAGATGTGACTTTCCCTGAGAAGATGTTCACAGAGACTCCTGTGGTGAGTCTCTTATACTATCCATTATTTTGTCTCTTTATTGAATTTTAATCTCTAGGAGGGAAAGAATAATTACTCATTCTTGAAGCTCCTAACCCCAGCACAGGATTGAACGAATCTATCTGCTGAGGTTATCTGATAAGTCTTCTTGTAAATACCTGGTGTAGGTTACAAGGGCAGAATGATGCAAGAGCGGATATGTAACATTTTTATCTCTGAAAAATGACTCTATTGCTTAATAGCTCTGTGAGGCTAAACAAGTTATTTAGCTTCTTTGAGCCTACTTTCCTTAGAACAATGATAGAAACAATTCCTACTACATAGGATTTCTGGGGAAAGAACTGAGTGTTTTACTATAGGTAGAACGTTTAGAAAAGTGGCTGACTGATAAGCACTCAGTTCACTATTTTAATTTTTAAGACAATCTTGGGATATATGTTTAGAGAGGATGCATGGTTTTTCTAGTACCTTTGTTCCATGGAACTATTGCACCTATGAATGTTTTTGATAAAATATGAAGAGTGAGTTCAGGGGAAGAAAGGGCGTGTATTTTAAGTCCTGGGGATAGGAAACCTGTTTAGGGAGAGGGTTTGATTTCCAAGCTTCTGTTACTTCATTCTCTTCATCTCTGGGAGTCTGAGTTTTCCTTTCTCTCTCTTTCCCTCTGAGGATTCTGGGAGGTTTATCTTTCTTCTGGATGTTAAAATTAAAGGTGGAAATATTTCTGAAGTTGTGATTCAGCTTTGCATATTTGGAGTAAGTTTAGAAGTAAAACCAGAAAGAATGAAACAATTTTTTAAAAAAGACATTCAGAAACTAAAGTGTGAAATAAAGTGCTTTTGGGGTTGTATGAAACACGGAATTTTTTTTTTCTTTCTTTCTTTTTTTTTTTTTTTAGTGCTGGGGATCAAATCCAGGGTCTTGTGTATGCTGAGCAGGCATTCTACCACTGAGCTACACTTCCACCCCAGCAGTATGAGACTTTTATTTTATTTTTTTAATTATTCATATTTGGGAGAAAGGGAGGGGGCTTGTAGCATTGACCAATGAGAAGATGTACAGGATGTTGAAAAAACTTGTAGAACTTTTTAAGTTAGATACTTGTTTTGACACTTAACAGTAAACTGTGAAACAGTACTCTTGAGAAAAATGAAAATGAATTTAGCTGTTGAAATTGGGCAATTTAATTTTTCATTTAATTTTTATTAGGGGATCTAGATAGTGGAGATATGTAGTAAATAAAATATACATTATTCCTGCTATGGTTCAAATTAGAGACTAATGGAAAATAGTCTTATTTATTTATTTATTATATATGACAGTGGAATGTATTACAATTCTTATTACACATATAGAGCACAATTTTTCATATCTCTGTATATTCACACCAATTTGTGTCTTCATACCTGTACTTTAGATAATAATGATCATCACATTCCGCCATCATTAATTACCCCCTGCCTTCCCTTCCAACCCCTCTTTCCTATCTAGAATTCATCTATTCCTCACATGCTCCCCTTCCCTACCTCACTAGGAATCAGCCTCCTTATATCAGAGAAAATATTTGGCATTTGGGTTTTTGGGATTGGCTAATTTCACTTAGCATTATCTTCTCTAATGCCATCCATTTACCTGCAAATGCCATGATTTTATTCTCTTTTATTGCTGAGTAATATTCCATTGTGTATACATATGCCACATTTTTTTTTATCCATTCATCTATTGAAGGGAAAAATAGTCTTTAAGTAAAACCCTACATACATAACTGTAAAGTGCAGGGCATTTTGAGAAAGATTATCAGGAATGGTGGTGGGAGGGTTGGTAATTGGTTATGCAAAGCCTTTTCTTCTGCAAGGATGTTTAAGATGTTTAAGATAATAGTTAGATAGAAGCCATCCAAGAAAATGTTGAGGGGGGAGAACTTTAGGCAGGGAATACTTGGTTATTTGTGCAGCTACAGAGTCCAGATAGGTTGCTGTTTGTTTCCAGGAGAGAATGGTTGAGTATGAAGCTATAGAAGCCAATGAGGACCAGAAATTTGCAGAGCCTTGAGGAGACTGTTAAAGGCAATCCATGTTATTTCAAGGGCTAGGACGAGTCACTGAGTGATATCAGCCAGGACAGAAGCCTATTTGTGTTTAATGGAAGATTGCATTGGCTGCTGAAAAGGAAAAGCTTGGAGAGAAGCAAGAGCAGCCTTATGAGATAGAGGTTAATGCAGAGGTCTTGTGGCTAGGGAGTTAGCAGTGGAAACAGAGAAAAATGGTTGCATTGGAGATTCATTTGCAAGGGAAGTCAAAAGGACTTGATGCATTGGATGCAGGGGAGTGAGGGAGAGGGAGGTATCATAGATGACTTCTAGTTTTGGGAGAGTAACTAAATGGAAGAAGAGATTTAAGAAGAGTATCAGGAGTCAGGGAGAAACACCACACTGTGTAATGTAAGAGCAATTAATAAAATAATTTTTATATTTTTTTCCTCTCAGCCAATCCTTCAAGTTTTAGATCATGTCTCTTCATGAAAGCTTCCCTGGTCACTGGAGGTAAAGGTGTGTTGGCTCTCTCTTCTTGTCTCCTCTTTTGCAGTCCTGGTTACTCACCTGAAGTTTGCACATGCTGTTCTTATCCTGCTTGTCTTGACGTGGGTTGTTTTCCTTCTCCACCTAGATTTTGAATACAGTTGCAAAGCCTTTTTCTTATATTCCCCTGAATCCTCAAAATCATTTAGCAGAGCTTGGTATTATAACAAATATTTTTTGGTAGATAGAAAATGTTAGTGTAGGGTTTGGTACATAGCAAATACTTTTTGACAGTTAAATAAGTAGAAGTATTATCATTTTCAGAGAAAGTTTGAAAAGGTCATAGTATCGATAGTGATTTCTTCTCCTGTAGTCTGTTCTTAGAAAATAAAATACAGTAGATTATGTGCATGATTTAATTTCTCAAATCTCTGTGAGGATAGTCTATAAAGAACTTATTGAATAATTTATGGTGGATATTATTTATTGCAGCATATAAATTGAATAAAGGGAGATTAAGGGGTTTCAATGTATTTATTTTTAAGCTTCTGAATTAACTTTCTCATGATTTAGAGATGCATGTTGCATTTTGAAGAACATAGTAATAGCAGGAATGAGAAGCATTGAAAAAGGACCAAAATATATACACAATACTATGAGGCCAATAATACCACAACACACACCTGCTACCTTCTGTTATAGTTTGGATCTGAAATGTCCCCCAAAGGCCTATATGTTAAAAGCTTTGTCCTCAGCTTGGCACTATTGGAAGGTGGTGTAAACTTCAAGTGTGTGTGTGGGGCGCTAGTGGGAGATTTCAGGCTCTATGCATGTATGCTCTTGAAGGGAATTGTGGGACACCAGTCCCTCTCTCTGTCTGTCTCTATATCTCTCTGTTTCTCTTTCTCTCTTTCTTATCTCTCCTCCTCCACCATGCATTCTTGCCACAGGGCCGAAATAATGGAGCTAACTGGTCATAAATTGAGGCCTCCAAAACCATGAATCAAAATAAATCTTTTCTCTTTTTAAGTCAATTATCTAGGGTATTTTGTTATAGAAGCAGATAGTTAACATAGCTTACAGGCCACATGATTAATGGTAAAAGTAGGACAGAGGATGCTGACCCTTGGTTCTTTGATAAGACTTCTTTTCGGACTTCTCTTTCAACACAGACTAATCTCAAAACTGTCTTCTAGTCTTCTAGTCATACTGGTGAGTATACTGGTGAGTATTTCTGCCTGTCAAAGCTGTCTTACACAATTAACTTTGCCCCTTATCCTTTGGAGACATTTAAGTGATGGTAGGGACAGAGATCTTTCTGTTGCCACTTGTCTATCAGCTCCTGTTGCTACTTTTATTAGCTACAACCAGCCCCTTGCTAATATGAACATTATACAGAAGTAAAGCACATTTATTGGATATGCATACCAGGATTTTTTATCCTTTGACAACTTGGATATGAAAACCACTGCACCACCAACAAAAATCTGTGTTTTCAAGGAGCTCACAGTGATGAAGTCAGTTGTATATACAGGCCTTCAATTTTTCTCCATAGAAATTTTCTCCCCTATGGGAAGCTTGGTTATCTTTGCTTAAGGCTTTAGTATCAGGAGGGTCTAGCTTGACAGCTAGGCTTATCCATGTAGTAGCTAGTTAATTAATTGGGCCAGTTAATTAATCTCTTCAATCTTTATTAGCATCAATCCTAAAATAAAGGTAGTGATGCTTTTATTCTAGGATGGTGGTGAGAATTAAATGAGAAAATGTATTCAATGCTCCTAGAGTAGGGTGTTAGACACAGTGAGTAAAAAACCTTTCCTTTGCAAAGACAAAGTTGAAGAGGATGATCTATTTCCTGGGGCTGACTCAGACCTGTTGGCCCAAGGTTCCACTGTTTCTTTACAACCCATGCAGCATCCTTCCACGGTTAGCCTTCCATCCACTCCACCCATCCTCTCCCTCTAAATTGCCTCCCACCCACCATCAGAGGACATGACTTTCCCTTTCTCCCACTCCACATGGTTATGCAAGAGTGAGGCTTCTGTATCCTGGGAGCCCTATACAAGCAAACTTGAGAAGAAGGAGTTATTTCCAGCACCAAATGAAGCAACTTGTCTCTCACTTCATCTGTGAGTCAAGAAATTTATTGGTCATAAGTTTTGATATCATCTTCTTATTTGGAATAAACCCGATAAGTGGTTCACTCTCTCTCTCTCTTGGCTTTAGCTTTCTTGTTTGTAAAAGAAATGATTGTGAAATGAGAAGGCTGGGTTGCCTGTGATGACTGGAGCTATGATGGTGAGAAGTACTGGAAAAGCATTTGGCGGAACGATCATTGAGAAATCCAGAGATCTGGACTCAACCTCTCTAAAAGGGTGAACTCAGACTGGAGATTTAAGTGTGGGAAGAAGAGGAAAGAATTTATGTTGTAAAATATCCTGACTTAAATCCACTTTGCACTGCGATGTTCCCTTTTTTTTCCTCATTTGATCTAAAGATGAAGAGGAGGAAAATAATGACCTGAGAAAGGGATGGGTGGAAGGAATAACAGAATGTCACGGTGCTTATATTGGGGATGGGTTTGTCAGAGCAACCATCAGTTCTACCCCAGGACTTTCTTCCTTGGATGAGCACCAAAATCCATTGCTTTCTGGATTTGTCTCCAGGAAGGAAAATATTCAAAAGTTAGAAGCTAAACACTCTAATGATTCACTACAACGATTGTGCAAGAGTTTATCTAAAATCTCTGGAATGTATTTAGGTTTTCAGCCACTACCTTATTTTTGGGCAATGGTTTTCATAAAGTAAAAATTTTATAATTTTCTTGAAGGAATCCAAAAAAATTGTAGTCTCTGAGAGGTGGCTGGAATATGATTCCTAAAACTCTTCTTTCTCAACCTTTCCTTCTCACACAAATTTAATTTACTCGATGTCATTATCTTAGATTTCAAAATATGAAAAGTCTCATTATGTTCCTAGCCACTGTCTCCAGGAGATAGTATTCCATTGACTTGCCCGAAGAAAGACAGCACATTACATATAATCATGTGTTTCCTTATTCCGGCCCCTTTTCCCACAACAAGAAACCACAGCGCCAGCGTGCCACTTACGCTGTCATTCTATTCACTTAAAAATAAGTAGGCTTTTTGTCACCACCACTGTGACAGGCTATATATATATATATATATATATACACACACACACATATGTGTGTATATATATATACACACACACACATATATTTTATATATGTATATATGTTTTTTTTACCTGTGAAAACCAGAGAAAATATTTCTTAGTATTAAAAATAAGCTAGTCCCTAGGAATTTAGACTTTCTATAAAATGCTGCTTCTGACACAAACCTCATTTGCAAGAAGGAAACTGGAAATGTGATGTGACAGAGATTGACAGGTTGGAAAAGGAAGTGTGGCAGGAGAAACTCTGCATTCAATGTTCAGCGGAGACTTCTTTGTGGGGATTCACTGTCCGATAGCTGGCTAGCCATGACAACCAGAACAACAGTGATGTACAATAATTAAGCCTTTAATTACCTTCTAGTCATTTACATGTGTTAATTCACTGTGTCCCAGGATTCAGGCTCTCGAGTCTCTGCTTTTACAAAGTTCTTACTCTTATGATCTCATTTTATGTGGGAAAATATATATATATTTATATATTTCACCTCATAGAAGTCTAGAGTATTTGATTGTTATCAGAGGCTGGGAAGAGTGGTGGGGAGAGAAGTGTGGGGAGAGACTGATTGATGAGTATTAAGTTATAGTTACAGAGGAGTAAGAAGCTCTGGTGTGCTCTTGCACAATACAGTGACTACAGGGCATAATTATACACTGAATACTTCAAAAAGCTAGGAGAAAGGGTTTTGAATGTTTTTACCTTAAAAAAATGATGAATGTTAAAGGGGACTGATGTTTGTTCTGATTTACACATTGCATGACATAAGCATGTATCAAAACAGTACATGGTACTTCTCCATAAATATGTATGATTTTTATATTTTAGGTATCATTTAAAATAAATTAATTTATTTTAAAAATTCCTCATTACTGTGGTTAAGTATTGGGAAGAATTAGGGAAGAGCATTCCAGAAAAAGGAATGGCAGGTAGAAATTTTGTAAGCAGGCAGGAAACCAGCTATGTTGAGGAGCAAAAATAGGTCCAGAGAGATTTGTACAGAAAGAACTAGGGGAGCAGTTTGTAAGTATGAAAAGTGTAACGGAGGCCACAGGAAAGAGTTTTCAACTTATTCTTTAGTCTTATGACTTACCTTATTCATTATTATTACTTTTTTTAGATATTTGAAGATAAACTTTCTTTTAATTTGTAACCAGTGAATAATCTATGCATGCTAGGAAAACAGATATTGGATTTTGTTTTCAACTTATAACATCTTATTCTCAATATTATAAAAAAATCATTGAATGTAGTAGCTTTTTAGTATTTGTAGTCTCTAAAATATCCAAGTATAAATTATTCACCAGATTTAATAACATCTTATCTGAACTAGGCCTGTTTACGACTCCAGCAGATGGTTCCTATTAGGTGCATTTTTCCTCTTGATCTTAAGATTCTCAAAAAAGTATAAACATGTAACATCTTTGAGCAATTTGAGCAATCACAGTTTTCTCTGCTAGTAAAGTGGAATGGTGATGGAGAAAAAGTCTTTTTAGCCAAATATAGACCCAAATCTAGATAAATATAACTTTATTGCCCATAACTTCTTTCTCAGGAAAACTTGCCCGTCTTCAACAGGATGGTTTCAGTTTAAGTTTATCCTTTTAACACATTGAGGCATTCCTTGGTGATCAGAACTAGAATATCCATTTACTAGGAAATTGGCTCCCAGATATCATCACCCTTAGTGAGGAATGTCCACTCTATATACAAGCACAAAGCATGTGGGTAGGTAGGCACTCAGCTTTTTATCACCATGACCAAAATACATGACATGAACAATTTAAAAGAGGAGAGTTTATTTGGGGCTCATGGTTTCAGTCTATTGTCAATTGACTTTATTGCTTTGGGTCTGAAGTGAAGAAGAACTTCATAGCAGAAGGGCATGTTAGAAGAAAGCTGTTCAAATCATGGCAGCCATGGAGCAGAGAGAGAAAGGGGTCAGGGACAA